CCTGTTCCTGGTCTTGGGGGTGGGCCTCTCCCCCCCCCCCCCCCCGCCTCCCCGCCCCCCCCCCCGGGCGGGGGCCCCCCCCCCCCGGCGGGGGGGCACACTTCCCACCCCCCACCATCCTTCTTCTCCCTCCCACCCCCCCACCCCGCACAGATTACACGCTTGTGTTGGATGGAAAATCGTACCATTTGCAGTTTCAGATAAAAGCATGTTCGAGTGCATATGGAAAGTACCATTAGGAGCAACTCCGGAGTGCCGAGTAAAATGGGTCATTAGGCTTTTGTTTGTTGGTGAGTGTCTCCCATCTGACAGTGCCGAATGGTACCATTTTTAGCAGCTTATGTTCCCAGTTACATTAAACAGACAAACAGATTGACTATTTTGCATTTCTCATTTGAGAGCAGCTTGCCTTCATTTGCCACACACTGGTGGCAAGGCTGAAAACGTGGCCGATGACTGTAGCCAAGGTCCCGGTTTTGAATAACAGCAGATGCCAACATTTCACTTCAAAATCAATCAATTCTTTTTCCCGAGTACGGATAAAAGGTCCGCTGGAGCTGCCTGAAGGGGGATTTCTGCTCTTTACAGCTGAAGACACAGAAGCCACGTTCATTACCAAACTTGCCGCGAGAAGTAGCAAACCGTGGGTCATCTTCCAGAGGGAGGTGTTGGCAAGAAGGGTCCGCGGCGAAGGCAGGGTTGTCGTGTTGCCTAGGACGGGGCAGCCGGCGATTAGGACGCTCAATCCGATTAAGGCGATGACCATATCACTTGATCTGATTCTGAAAGGAGGTCTTAATATGCGGTGGCAGAAAAGAGAGTCGTTTTCACACTGACCGCTTTTCTCAGGAGCCTGTGGTCGGTGGGTTAATTAAAAGCTTTCTCCAAGAGAGAGACAGTCCAAGGGGCCATTTCTCACTAGAAATCAGAGCGCCGACGGCCTGATTTAAAGTCAACCAGAAGGCAGTCCGGTACCTCTGGGTCTCTAGCTCATCACCCCAGCTGCCAAGCCTCCGCCAGGCTGGGGCTCTGAGTCATCCAAGGTGGCTGGTCCCCCCACGGCCTCAGGCTGGTATCAGAGCCCCTGCTTGGCCCCGTCGCTGAGGCCCCCCGAGTTCAGGAAAACAGGTGTTTCGGGCACGGGAGCAGGGCACGTGAGAAGCAGGTTCTGTGGGAGAAGGCGGGCCGTTGTGCGTCAGCTCTGAGGTCATTCACGTCTGTTCTGTGACGGTGAGGAACCTTCATGGCTATGAGTGCCCTACTCTGGCATCAAACCATGGCTGTTCCCAGCTTTGTCCCTAAAAGGCTGTGAGACCTTGCGTGAGGAACCTGACTTCTCAGAGACCGTTTCCATGGGGATGATGGTGTGGTTGCCACTTCACAGGATTATTATAGGGCTTAGAAGAGATCAAGTGTGGAAAGCCCATAGTGGTGTACCTAGAACACAGTAAGAGCTCAATAATGGCTCCTGTGTGTGTGTGTGTGTGTGTGTGTGTGTGTGTGTGTGTGTATAAAATGTGTATGTATTTTAATGTATGTTATATATGTGTGCATCGATATACATAGCAGGATATATAGTAAACGTTATATGTTCGCATATATGCACTTACGTGATACATAGTCAAATACATATACATGAGATGTAAAAATGACTTGTATGTAAATGTATGAAGCTTCAAACCCTTAATTACTATGTACATAGGTCTAAAACATAGTGATGGTGCCTCATTTCTGTGGCCCTACCCACGACGTAGTAATAGGACAGTCCCTCTTTGTCTTCCTTCAGCTTTGACATATGACAACTCATTCCTTTAAAAAAAAATTTTAATGTTCTATTTATTTTTGATAGAGAGAGAGAGAGAGAGAGAGAGAGAGAGAGACAGGACTAGTGGAGGAGGGGCAGAGAGAGAGGGAGACACAGAATCCGAAGCAGCCTCCAGGCTCTGAACTGTCAGCACAGAGCCTGATGCGGGGCTTGACCCTATGAACCATGAGATCATGACCTGAGCTGAAGTCAGACGCTTAACCCACTGAGCCACCCAGGCGCCCCTTTTTTTAAAAACTTTTTTTTAATGCTTTATTTGTCTTTGAGAGACAAGTCATTCCTTTAAATGGGAAAAATGTATGTCCTTAATTAATAACAATAGCAGTGAAGTCTTGCCGCGGAGGATGGCCTGTGACCCTGAAAGCCAGCTTACAGTGGATGCTGTGTCCCCATCCCACTGGAAGGCCGGGAGGGGAGTCTGGCCGGTCAGTGGCCAGTGGGCCTTGAAACCCCAGGCTTTGTCCAGGACACTGTCCTCCCCAGGGCTCCACACATGGGACACCCACAGGCGTCCTGGAGTAAGGAAAGGTGAGCGTTCCCTTCGTGAGGCCTCAACTTCGTTTTCGCGGGGGCCCTACTTCGTGACCGAGCGCCTCCCCACCCCCACTTCTGCTTTCCATTCTTTCCTCTCCTGCCTCGTATTGATAAAAAAAACAAACCCAAATATGAGCATTTTGATTTTATCGAAGCTTGCGGTAGACCTTTTAGTTTATTTCTTAAAAGTAAACTTTCCATTGAAGTTGAATTCAGTAGACTTCCAAATAATCTCTTAAAAACAAAGACAGAAGCAAACTTTGCTCATGTCTGCCGTCTTCCTCCAAAAAATAAAGTAAAAAGGACAGTGTTTTGTTTTCATTTTCTTTTCATTATTTTTAGGAACTCACAGCAATCCTAGGATAATCTTGAAACCAGGATGAGACAATCAAAGAGTTAACTCATTAACATGGAAATCATCGGGGCACGTGGGTGGCTCAGTCGGTTCGTTCGGCATCTGACTTCGGCTCAGGGCATGATCTCACGGTGTGCGGGTTCGAGCTCCGCCTCGGGCTCTGGGCTCTGTGCTGACAGCTCAGAGCCTGGAGCCTGTTTCAGATTCTGTGTCTCCCTCTCTCTCTGCCCCTCCCCCACTTGCGCTCTGCTCCCTCGGTCTCAAAAATAAATAAACGTTAAAAAAAAAAATTAAAAACTTGCAGATCATCAACGGTCAGTAAGTGTTGGCTCTTTGTAAATTTTTATGCCCTACCCCCGTCTGGCTCCAGAAAAATCATTAGCCCTCATGCCTAACGGGATACAGATGATCCAGCATTTATTAATCTTTGAGTCTCCCATGACCAAACATTTCCGGAGTGTGTCTGTGATGCCATGTGCCATCCTGGGTGCTAGAGGAGGAAGAGCGGAGAGGGGCATCACACAAGCCACGCTCCCTGCCTTCGGGGATAGTCACACAGAAGTCCTAAGAGATGGATGGCCCGAGCTGGGTGGACAAGGAGACAGAGAATCCTGGTTCTCGGGTTTAGAATTTTTAGGGGGAAAGAGATGGCCCCGGGCCAGAGTGGTTTAGCGGAAAACAAAAGGATAGAGCCTTTAAGAGTCACGCTGAGCATCAACAAAGGAGAGAGGAAAGAAGGAAGCCAGCAACTTTGACCATGTGATGTGAATGCCCTGGCACCCACTTGCAGCAAAGCTGCAGAGGAGGGGTCAAGGTCAAGGCGCCCATGGGAGGCCGAGTCTCTGTGCAGGCTACTCGGGGGGTCGATGCTGGGTCCTCCCAGGGCCTCGCCTTTGAAGTCTGAAATGCTCCGGGCGCCAAAACTTGTCAGCTGGGGACGGATTCACTGTGGATAACGCGAAAAAAGCCAGTTAATTACCAAGTTTCTCCTTCTTCCTTTTCTCCCACCCCCAACTACCCTCCACTCTTTGTGCCCGGCCTGGCATTTAGGGTCTTTTGTTGTCTTAATAGAGACTGAAACCTGCTTAGGGCCTGGAGTTTGCGGTTTTAATTCAACGGTGGAAGGGTTTTGGTTTTGTTTTTTTTTTTTTTTTCCTTTTTCTTTGTTTGTTTTTCTTTCCCGTTTTCTTTTCCTAAGCCCGGCAGACAATGCATTTGCAGAGCAGAAGCTGTGTGCGAGGCGCTCCCCGGATCCTGAACAAAACCCTCATTAATGGGAGGTGGGATTTCCTGGTCACAGCTTTTAGCCAAAGGGCAAAGGTCGCCCATTAACCAGCATCCAGTCTAAACAGTGCTGTGTAAAATGACAGGGAGGGGAGGGAGAAAAGGGAGAAAGAGTCAAATATTTGCTCTTAATTCTCCAGTTAGTTTCTCTGGAATGGCAATCAGGGAAGTACGGTGAATGATCAGTGCTCTATTCCCGGGCTGCAAATCCGGACCCGCGTTTGCTAGGCCGAGCCGGGAGGCCAGTCGGCACTGCACGAGGCCATGGAAGGGGACGCTGCTCTCTCACCGCACCAGGAGCTGGTACTGGTGGGTGGGGAGGGGGGCTCAGGGGCTGCGTCCACCACCCTTGGCCCCATACCACCAGCTTTCCGACCCCCTGGCCCCGGGGGTCTCTCCGATGGGACCCCAGACAGAAGCAGAAATGTGCTGAGTAATGGCCCAGTGTCTGTTTGCTCCCCTGGACAGAGCCCCTTGGAAGGGTCCCCTTGAGGCCCTGCAGAACCAGCAAGGTATCGCCGGTGTGCCCATCACTTTCCCTCTCTCACGTGCCCTGTGCCCCGTCTTCGCCGGAGTGCCTCCCCCATGCCCTTCCTGTCCCCACACCTGACGCCAGCCGGGCTCCAGCTCCGTGCAAGCTCACGGGCTTGGGCAGTGCTCTTCCCACGATGAGGAAACTCTTCCCTGGCCCTTTGCATCCTGGCCTCTCGTTGGCGTCCGCTCCCCGACTTGTCGGTCCCCTCGAGCCGCAGTCACCGTTAGCCCCCGCCGATCCTCTCTGGCTGGATCCTGGCTTCAAAGGAAATCTTGGCTTCTCATATTCCTTGGATTGTCCAAGGGGGCTCGCGGGGTGCGCATTTCGGGATCAGACAGGCGTAACCCCCAGGGAAGGATGCGCTACCCGCTCAGGCCTGCCAGGGGGTTGCCTCCGTAAAACTTAGAGTGGAGCGTAGCAAAGCGAAACGCTGTCCACAGACAGGGCCGCCTCCCTGGACAGAGGAGGACAGTGGGCCGCCCCCGATACGGCTGCCCACTGCCCTCGGTTTATCACCCAGGGAAGCCGCTCTCTCTCCTCCGGGGACGGAAGGCTCCATGCGCGGGCAGAGGCTGCAAAGGTCTGCCCACACAGCGGTTCTCAACCTCAGCCCGGGCCGGCATCACCGGCCTGCGGCCCTGCGAGGGCATCGGCCCCGGCTTTAATGCTTTGCTTTCATTGCCTTGAAAATTCTTAGTAACAGGGAACAAGGGGTCCTGCATTTTCTCGGTGCACTGGACCCTGCAAATGCTGCAGCAGGCCGTGACCTCGGCTGCCCGTTGCCGTCACGTGTGAAGCTTTCTAACCGTATCCCGGGCCCCGTCCACGAGGCTTGGATCTAAAGAGGTGGGTCTCCCGGGGGACCTGGGTGAGAGCCCCTGTGCCATAGAAGAAACCTGTACCTGTGTATAGAAGGACGCTGCAGGGTGGGGAATGCACCTTCTCCCCGACACTCCTGTGGAAGAGAAGCCACAAGCCCACAGCCCCCTGTGGCCGTAGAACTCAGTTGGTGCCTGCGGGACCTGCAGAAGAGCTCTGAAGCCCTTGACATCATGTGAGGTGATCATGATAGAGCTTATCGAGTGCTCTTCTAATTAGCTAAGTACTCTATGCACCCATCACGTTCGGGTCTTACACCTTACGCGGTGGGTCACCTTATTTTCCCCACTCACGGACCAGAGCTGAAGCTTTCTGCACTGGAAGCTCTTGAGGCTGGATGACTCGGGGATCTGCGCCCCCTCTTACGGTCTGAGTCTCAAGGCCTGCCCTGTGCCTCCTTCATTTCTGCTTCCTCAGCATCGTGCCCAGCACTCTGTAGGTATTCGGCCGCAATTTTGCAGTTTGGTTGAGGGGTAGGGTGGGAGGCTGGGAAACGTTATGCCACTCTCACTACCATCAAGAGTAATCGCTGGGGCACCGGGGTGGCTCATTCATTTAAGCGTCTGACTCGGGCTCAGGTCATGATCTCGCGATTCGTGAGTTCGAGCCCCGCGTCAGGCTCTGTGCTGACCGCTCAGAGCCTGGAGCCTGCTTCAGGTTCTGTGTCTCCCTTTCTCTCTCTGCCCCTCCCCCACTCATGCTCTGTTTGTCTCTCAAAAATAAATAAATGTAAAAAAAAATTATTTTAGATTAAAAAAAAAAAAGCAATTGCTGAGAAAAACCCCTCAGATGTATTTGTTATGTTGTCGTGCTTGGATCCCCTTTGCTACCCCATAATGTGACGACCGCCTTGAGCTAACTAGAGGGCAGGACCTCATGATGTGAACGCTAACACAAACCAGATCACATCCCCACAAATGTTATCCCAGAAAAGTGGCTGGTTGGGAGTAAGAAGTGGCCGATAAACAGAGCCCTTGGCCGGAAACAGAGGACATCGCCATGTGGCAACAAAGACAAAGTGTGCAAGCATCCTTC